ATATTTCAAATAAACACTTGTATTAAAATGGAACTATGAAAACATTATCTCCCTGAGGCACACAGATAAAACTTAACATGATTAAATTTAATTGTGAAGTTAAGTTATTGGGATTGTCTAATCTTCCTCTTCTCTGATATTGTCTACCTGTTTTGGATAAAGACGCTGATTTTTGCACTGTTCTAATATATGATTTCATTTGGTTTCTTATGCCAAAGATATTGTCTCCCAGAGAGTCAATGGTTAGTTACGGGGATCGACTCCCCACGGTGGACAGAGCGCAGATAGTCCATTGCGTAGCTTTACTAAACATATTTCAGACCTTTACTTTTTTTTTCTATTTCAGAGCAAACAAAGCATCATCTATATAATATTTGAATATGGTTTAAGCTAAAACAAAAGAAGACAATATATCGATCTTCTTTTCATGCAGTTGTTACAATGAAAGACCATCTGAAGAGCTTGCTGTACTAATATTAATGAGGAAATGAAAATGAATGCCGTAATCACGACAATGTAGTAGGTGTAAATGCGTAAAAAAAATGGCTTACAAAGCAAAATAGCACAATGTATTTTCACAAACTTTCCTGTGGCGAGAATAAAAACCATTGCAGAGAAACGAAACTTTCATTAGAACACCTTCGTAGACCAATACATATTAAGTCTATCGAATTATATATATGCCAAGTATAAAAATAAAATTGTTTCTGCGAATTAATGTTTTTTAAGTCACGCGTGCTCACATATATACCGCATAAGGAAAGATTCTATTGTGAGTTCTTATAATATGCGTGACCTCCGGGAATTTAAGTTGTAATATGAAAAGAAACCTCATTTACATGCTGATTGATTTGCCTTTTCTTGTATCTGCAATTCAATTTCAACTATTTGCTGCTGTACGAAACTTTCTGCTGATGAAGGGTGGATTTTTCATACTTTGTTACCAAGATTATTCCGTATTCGGCTCACTTGTTACTGGAAAATTAATGACTAAAGTAAGATTATACGTTGAACTAGAAGTCATGGAGAAGTGTAGCTTGAAATACACGTGAAATAGTTAATATAGTACCTTGTAAAGTACGCAGTTCATGTTCATTAATATTAACTTTGACATGAGGGCACATATTGATGACTTCTCTTCCTAACCTTAACTCATTTGTCTCTTAAGTCACTAAAGTGTTAGGTTAAATGTGGAGTGATTTTAACAGAATAATTAAAATGTATGTCATAAAAACGTTTACCACTATGGAAATACAGCATGCTTAGTAAGCAAGACATATATGATTTATTTGTTTTAATAATCTTAGACGTAATTTTTACTTTTAATAGCAATTTTATTGGTAAAACGTGTTAACTGAGAGAAAACTTGAACAATCAAATTCTCAAATATTAAACAAGTCCCTCATGAGCTAGTGGAAGACATTTTGGTTGAAAAAAACCCTACCCAATACGGTTTTTCTTAATTTGAGCTGAAAGTTTTTGGACATCTTTATTGGCTGAAAAGAAGGCATTTCCCGAACTCTTTCAGCTTTGAGGCTAAGAAAAGTGATTTGAAGTGCTAATGTGACTGAAATCCGTCAGAGCATTACCAGTTTAATGGTCAAGCACAAGAAGTATGGAAGTCTCCCAATGACACGCAGGGGTATTCAGGAACCGTTAAAAACCGCCTTGGTAGGTATTGTACAGCAAGCCGAGTACAATATTATGCATGTAGCTGCTTTCAAAATGTTCCTGTATGCTCATCCTACTGCTGACTATCTTGATACTTCGACCTTCCCTACCGAATCGCAGGTGAAATCGTTCGTTTCTCAAATGAAAGCTAAACATAAAATGGTGATAGCAGAAGCATACAAGGTTGGTAATTGCGTAACTAATGATGCTGAGAAGATGGCTTTATTGATACATATTGAATTTCTTCCCAGTGGGTAGACCTTAGTATTAACTAGTATGAAGACTTGAAGATGCTGTATTTTTACTTTAAAATTTATCAATTAACAAATGAAAACTTGTCTCGAAGTTGTTTCAAAATATACGTCCAAAACCACCCTCTTTGGGAGTTTTCGATTTGAACTTACTTTTAATATTCAACAAATTGTAGTGAAAGTCACCCCTTGGCTCCTCTTGGACGTGTTAAATTATGTGAAATAATCCAAAACTATATTTGAAAACACTTTATAACTACTCCCAATTCTAGTTTATAAGTATGATAGCTCTTTTTGCTGAACTTGGTAGTTTCTACATAAAAAGTGCAGATATATTTTAACATTATTTTACAGAATTTTAAGATATAATACTTAGTAGTAGTGAATAATATTTAAGAACGAAGTGTACAAGTGTACAGTAGTGGTTAAAAGAATATATTCTAGGATATCACATTACTTGCAAGGCATTTATAACAATTTTTTATAAATATCTGTTATTATTCACAGGCCCCCAGTGGCACAGCGATATGTCTGCGGAGTTAGAACGCTAGAAACCGGGTTTCGATACCCGTGGGGGCAAGGGCACAGATAGCCTATTGTGTAGCTTTGTACTTAACTTCAAACAAACAAATACTATTCACAGATAGACATATGCATACGTACATGCATTTGTGAATAAAATTAACAAATATATCTTAAGTATATTTAAAACCTATATGAAAGTAATGGATTAATATTTATACATCAAATGTGGGTGCACAATATTTGCAAAATATAATAGTTGCAACAGTTGATATCTTCATACGTTATTTCAGACCGA